GTCAGAAATACGCTGGTGATGGGGCCTACTGTCAGTCAAGGTGGCCCTTCCCATTTGAGGACAGCTCATTCATTCAACAAATATTGGTAAGCACTGACAGTCTCTGAGATAGGCACAGTTCTAGGTCCTGGAAACAAGCTAACTTTCGGGAATGAAACTGATAACTTTTGAAAAGATCACTCTGAGTACTGAGTTTACTATAAAGACGGTAAGAGAGTGATAGCTAGGCACAGAAGTGGCCAGTTACAAAGGTATTACAATAATCTAGGTTTAAAAAAATAGTTGGGTGCCTAGAATCCAATTGGTAGCCCTGGGAAGTGGTGAGAAACACTGGGCCACAAGGCATATGTTGAAAGTGAAGTCCATGAGATGTATTGATGGGTCAGTGAAGAGTTCTGAGAAGAGAGAAATCAAAGATGACTCCGGAGGCCTGGAAACTTGAAGGGTAGCGTTTCCAGCTAGTAATGTGTAAATCAGCAAGGAGGACACCAGAAGAAGGCAGGGTAGGGAGAGCGGAGTGGGAACTGGGAAGCTGACATGGGAAGTTGGTTGGCATGAGACATTAACGTAGGGTTGCCACAAACCCTCTGTTTCTTATTTGATGTGGGGTATGCGTCCCCTTACCTCTCAGCATTGGGAGAAAGTAGGACTCACTGACAAATCCAAACCTGATGATGCTGATAATTTTTTTTATTGCATTGAAATTAAAATATCAACTGTGAAGAATGAAAGGAATGGCCAGATGGAGAGTCAGTTCCCAGATGGAGAGTGGGAAGGAACAGAGGAGAAAACAAGCCTACTCAGGGCACTGGAGATGATGATAGATTGCGCTGCCAGTGCTCACCATGTGATTACTTAAGTCATTCAGAGCATTTGTTTTATTGTGTTTCTTCACAATCAGGCTATTCCTAACCAAGAAGACCTGTCTTTGTTCCCCAGAAATGATGATGAATGATTTCTCCACAAAGAAATAGCTGGCTTCATTTCATGGTTCTTTAGCCCCATGTCTCAAGAGATGAGGCCCACGACCCTCAAGTGTGTTCCCGATTTCTACAATTATTTCCAGTGAATGAGCGACATTGGCTGGAACCACTCCATGTGTTAGTTACAAAGGAGTCAGGAAGGAAGCCTAAGATCCCAGGAAGAAGGAAAGAAAAGGAGAGAGAAGGTTCCATTCTAAACCATGCAGACTTGTGCATGGTGGTGATCGTGTCAGAACCTTATCAGCCTAAGTGCTCTACCCTAAACCCAAGCACCAGAAAGGAGCAGGAATAATAATCGTTTCCCAGTCCTGGGTAACACCATCTTAGCATGTAAAAGTTCTGCCAGAAATCATTTGCAAACCACATTTTCCTCCTCCATCTCCATTTCCTTGGGTGTAAAATTTTTAATCAAATTATTTCTTGGTAGTTGCTGCAACTTCAGAATTCTCTAATTCTGCGAGGCTTCATGCAAGGAGGTCTTTCTTAAAACAGCTTAGAGTAGTAAAGGGAGGAATTTCCAAACATAAGCAATTTCCATTTCCAGCAGTGAACTACCACCCTACCTACCCAACTGCCGCTTCAAAGGGAACAGAAACAAATCCTGCCCTTCACCCTCTTCTCCTCCGCACTCTGCCACATTGTCAGCCTTTCCCAGCTCACGAAATGGGAATGCCATCGGATAAGTCTCCCGGAAAGGTTTCCTGTGTCAGAAGTTGGCATCCATCCTTTGTGGAACCTAGTGTGGTGGGAGGGGCCGGGGGGGAGGGGGGAAAGTGCAGAGGTTGGGGGAGGGATTTGGTCCTGGAGAACAAAGTGGCATTGTCTCTACCTCTGAGATACAGGCAGACAACTACAGCAGCACCAACCTATGCTCCCTAGCACAACCACCCAAGGGTGTATTATCATCACATGCTGGATCCTACTGATGGTGGGATCAACACATAGTTCCCCAGATGAGGATACTGTAAGATGAGGATCTTACCCTGGCCTCAGATCTCTGGCTACATTCCCAAGTCTGACACCAATTTGCCTGCTTTCACAGGTGTAAATGGCGTGTGGCTGACAGGTGCGACTTTCTCTGGCCCAAATCCTGGGTGTGTGAACCTGGGGCGTGGGGGGGTGGGGGGGGGAAGAAGAGACAGCAAGGCAGGGGTCACCTCCAGCAGCTATGCTTTAACCTGAGTAATAAACACGTGGCATTCTCCATGGAATGAAGTGGAAACAAACAAGCTGGATCACCCCTTGCTTGGGAACCAGAGCATTTTCAACGTGTGGTTCTGTTTTTGATGGTAGCATACATAGAAAAAGAAAACAAAACTGAATTTTGCTACATAAAGCATCCTGCTAGTTGCTGACTGCGTTTTTTTCTCATTTTTCTCCATCAGGTAACTCAGGAAAATGGCCACTAGGCCACATGCAATTATAAGGATGAGGGGTGGTTATAAATTGAAAGCATGACGTTTACCACCTGGCCTGACTCAATTACTATAAATGCATGTGGGGGGATTCCACAATGAAACCCCTCTGAATTAAGGGACAATATCACTTAATTCCACTAGGAGAATGACTGGAGAAATAGGTCAACAGAAGGGCAAGTAAGAGGATGGATCCATTGGATGAAGATATTCTTTGCCAACCAGTCTAACAATTTTCACAAACATGCCCCCTTAAATTGGCACACATGAGACTGAACGCTGATGAGAATAGCAAAGAATTATTTGAAATTGGAATTGGCTCAGAGAAGTTCTCCATTTCATAACAAGATCTTCTTGTTTATAAGAGAAATAATCATGCGTGCAACTAGGCTGTGGTAGTTTCCAGCAACCATTCCCTCTTGGTATGCACGCTGTTATGCAGGACCCTTCCACATATCACACAGCCTGGTCTTCCTGCAGTAGTAATAGTGCACGACCTTCAAGGCTAAATTAAAAGATCTCGCATCTGCTGCATTGGTTTCTCCATAGACTTGCTGTGGGAAAGGCCAGCGGCCATGCTGTAAGGATGCTCAAGCAACTAGGATCCACTGAGTGGAGAGGAAAACTACCAGCTAAGTGGATGAACCACCTTGAAGAGGATCCTACAGCCCTGTCTAGGCCCTTGGATGGCAGAGACCTCAGACAACATCTGAGGACATCTTCACAAGGACCTAAAAACCAGCATTCCCAGCTGAACTCTTCCCAAATTCTTGATCTGCAAAAAAACTAACAACAAACAAAGCTTTGACGTGGTTAGCAATGCATAACTAGTAATGCAAACTGCATATTGATTTGCATAATATTGTTTAGTTATTAATATAAGCTATTGTTTTCAATTCCTCCTCTATGTGGTCATACCCTTGATAAGAAATTACTGCAGAATTGTTCTCAGTTGAACCACGCCATTCTATCTCCACTGTCACTGTCCTAAGTCACCATTTCCTCATTCTTTACCTGGACAACAGGCACCTTTTAGTCTCTCTGCTCTGATTCTTGCTTTCCTGACTAACCCATTCTCTGGTCTTTAAATACCAGAGTAGTCTTTACAAGATGGAAATGAGACCACCTTACATGTCCTGTAACATTTCTGAAACTATGAGCAGAGAGAAGAATAACCATCCCAGAACCAGCATCTGATCCTTCAAGTTGAATTTCAATTTTATCTCTGTTTCTAAGGCCTGGTTCCTGGTTCCTGACTTTCCAAAGTATGAGATTAAGCAGAGAGATTAAGGTATATTCATGAAGCCAGGCATGGTGGTACTCTCCTGTACAATCTCAGCACTTGGAGGCAGAGGCAGAGAATCTCAAGCTCTAGTCCAGCCTGGACTACAGAGCAAAACCTTGTCTTAAAAGAGAGAAAAAAAAAGCAAATATGAAACAATAAAAGAGAAACTTGAGCTTCAGAAGAAAAGCAATGACGAAAGTGTTGCAGGAAATTTTGAGTCCTGAGTGGAGATGGAATCTGAGACATTCACTGATGAACCTGTATGCAAATAGGCAAATGGAGGCCAGGGTGCAGGTGGAACAGAATAACCAGCCATCTGGGGCAGGTGTGCCATCTGGGGGTAGATGTGCTTCGTGCTTCTCTGCCCTTTCCACAGCAGGACATGGACTGAATGGAGACTGACCGTTGAACACTTTTGGCTTTCTAGTCAACCTGAAGGAATTTGAGCTGATTGACGAGCAAGGCAGTCACTAGAAATGTAATGTGCTTCAACAATGGCAGGAACTGTGTTGGATATCAGGGATATGAGAACACAGGGTTGGGGGGGCAGATCTTTACTAAAAATCACAAACTATATGCCAATGGCAAGTATGAAAAAGTCTACAAGTGTTCTGAGCATATTTAATAGAGGGATTCACCTCCAGAAGAAGTCAGGGAAGGTTTCCCAAAAGGTCTAACATGTAAGCCTGCATCACCAGGAAGAATGGCCGAGCAAGACTGAGAGAAGCAGAGAAAGGCAGAGAGCTGCACAGGGTGGACTTAACAAAGCCCTACGTTAGATAAACAAGGGATCGCTGTGGCTGCAACACTAGAAATGAGGAGGCGGGGAGAAGGGGTGTAGAGGAGGAGGGCAGAGAAGTAGAGGGTCAACTTTTTGAGATTGTGGGGTGTGTATTCATAGAAACAGGGAGCAATCAGAGGGTTTTAACAGGGAGATAAGATTGAAATGTTCTGATGATCAGTCTACTGTAGTATCTTGATGAAAGGAGGCAAGGGTTGTCTTTGGGGGAGTCATTAGGGTGGTGGCATCCAGTGTGGAGAAGTGGGGATGGATTCAAGATCAAATGACAGTAAAAATCAGTAGGTCTGTGGTCGCTGAGACTAGAGGGTGAAGGATGGGGAAAGGGAGGTAAGAAAAGAGGTATCTGCTATAGAGAATGGGTGGCTGGGATGTGAGGCCATGGGGAAGGGAGCACTAGAGGAGGAGCATGTTTTGGGGAAAGGGGAGCAGAAGGAAAGTGGTACTGAAAATAAGTACCGAGCACCATATTAGGGGAAATTTTTAAAAGACTTCTGACTCATTGGGTTTGGGTTTTTCAGTATTTTATTATGGCACACAGGACAGAGTATGGAACGGTGTTTGTACTTCACTCAAGAATTTCTCACCCCAACAAACTATTTCCACGTGGACGGTTACTTTTTACACATATCCACATCATGGTAGACAAGGAAATATTTTACTTACTTGTACACTCACATATTCACTAAAAGTAAGTAGTGCAAAGCCTTCAGATAACTTGAAATGGCAGCCGCTTTGGTGTTAGGTGCAATACATGACTTTTAAAGGTCATCTAAAGCAGATATTGAACAAAATTAGCTGGCAAGCGCAGTTGTTTAAGAACAGAAGCATAGTTGCAATAGTCAATAATTGCATCTCAATCTCACATCAAATACAGAGTTTTCATAATGCCACAGTGGACACAGACAGGCGGGGTATTTATTTGATGCAATATTCAACCAGTTAAGCTATCATTAGAATCCAAGTATTCTCCAGGTAAGACATGCAGGACAATATCAATGTAACACATATGCATTTTCTCCCTCTTATGTGATTGATAATGTCATCATCCATCTTTGTGATTTTTTAAAGGCTTCAAAATGTGTGGCATTAAATGATATTTATTTGAAGCAATAGGATTAAGCTAATAGCACACAGAACCATGAGTTCAGGATTGTAGGCAATGTGTTTCCAGGGACAAATAACCTTTGATGGTCTTACCTTCTCTACCACACCTAAACATTGATGAAAAAGTATTCCTCTTGATTTGATCGTGAGCTCAGGTCCAACTGCCACCCTTGATATTGAAAATGTAGTTGTAATAACTGTGGATTTCTATTTGGCTCACATTGCATGATTACATTCCATACTAGTTGGCCACAAAGAATATATTTGTCACCTAATTTCGAAATTATCTCCTAGGTAGCCATCTTCTAACTTTATGGAGCAAATTTGGTGTTTTTTTTTTTGTGTATTCTCGCTCATGGTTTATCATCAGCAAGATTTTTGAGGGAAGAGACTTCCTCATAACCCTCAGAATTTCCAATTGAGGAATTAAAAACAAAAGTACTGTAGCTGTTAACCTCTGGATTGTACAAAAGCTCCAAGGTCAACAATCTGCTTGTATATGCTTTACACCTGTACTATCTTTAAGGTATTTTAATTAAGTCAAAAACACAGCCAGCCATGTCATTCAGTGTATCTTTATTTACTATTTATTGCACATAACTCAAGGTCTTTAGTTTCTAACCACCAAAGGATCAAAGGATTAATTTTTCATGAAGTTTAACATTAACATGAGTGAATTCATTTGTTTTTTTCTTTAATTGTAAACATCTGAATGATTCTCATTGCCAAAGATCCTGAACTCATAAGCGTGAACCATGCATAGGCTGGCGGCAGCCAGAAAGCCACTCTGCAAGCTAACAGATACTCTGCATAAGGAGAAAAATTCATAGCACAACACTGAATGTCCAACCTAATCATCTCAGAATTATACATGTAGTGACTTCGTAATTCATATAGGATCTGCAACTCAACTGGCTGGTTGGTGATGAGGTTGACCTGATTTGGGGAGAATTATTGTGGGAATAGTTAAGGAAAGTGGGGGTAGGGGTGGGGGTGGGGCTCAATCTTTCTTCTTTGTTGCTTGCTCCTCTCCAGCACCTTCCTCTTTCTTCTCATCCTCTTCGGATTCTTTGGTGTCTTCTTCCTCGCCATCACCTCCTCCTTCTTCTTCCTCCTTTGCATCTTCAGATTCTTCCTTGGCTGTTTTAATATAAAAAGAAAATTTACAAAACCCAAACCCAGGGAAATGCAGGCCAGACATTTCTACAAAGGCCCTTAAACAATAAAGCACATGGACAGGAGGCCTGCCAGAACCCTCCACTTGTCAAAGCACGTGTTCCACACAATGCTTCTCAAGATCCTTCTCCAGCCATCACAGACTCAAGGGCAATGGTACCACTTTCAAGTGATCTCATTGATCACTGGATATTTCGCTTCCTCTTCAAGGCCTAACCTCAACATTTTTATATGTGTGTCATTTGTTTGTGTTCTTTTAAGATGCCAAACTATGGTACTAAATGAACAGATTGAAAGTGAAACTTCACTACGAGTGTGTGTGTCAATTAAAAATATTTGCAAAGAAGATTCTGTAAAACTTTGACCCATCACCTCACTGACTAAAGGCATGGCAGAATCAACACACAGGCTCTAGTGGAGATTGCAATTCATAGGTGAGAACATTTTCCCTAGATAAGGGCCTATCCTGGGTTTCTGGGATCAACTGGCACTGATCTGAACCTGCACACAGAGTGACAGGGGCTTGTTTTTAAGGATACCTTCTTCCTCTTCCCCTCCCTCCTCTTCCTCAGCTTCTTCCTTCTCCTTCTCCTCCTCCTCGGCTTCCCCTTCCGAGGGGGGCTCATCCTTAGCTTCCTCAGCTTTGGTGGCCTCAATGGTCTCCTCCACCTCGATCTGCTCTTCCTGGACATGGCTAGTGTAGTAGGAGGGGAAGGAGCGGGCGGACATCAGGTAGGAGCTGGTCTGCAGACCACCATAGGTAGATCGGCCGAAGAGCTGGGAGCTCTGGGAGTAGCTACTGGAGAGGCTGCCCATGCTTGTAAAGCTGAGCCGGGTCTCTTCACCTTCCAAGAGTTTCCTGGGGATACAGGAGAAGAGTGGGGTTTAAAAAAAAAAAGAAGGAAAGTAAAAAGAAAATCAATAAATCAACACAAGAAGTGACTTCCACGACTTGCTCTGAGCTCATACTATGAAGACAAATGGCTGGTTATTTTGTGATTGAGATGAAAAAAACAAGCACCAACAAATTACCAAAACAACACACCCCCCCCAAAAAAAATCAACCAGACAGACAAAAAGAAACCCTAAATAGTCCTATTCAATTTCAAATTTAGAGGGAAGCTAAGACTAGGACTCATGACGGCCAAGATAACTTCTTGTATGTTTGTCTAAATACTTTCTTGCAAGAAGCCAAAAACCCAACAGTTCATTATTATTCTTGGAGGCTTCTGACTCAGAGTGACTTTCAGTGGGATCTGGTGCTCTTTCTCAGGCTTTGAGGCCACGCCCTCTGGCCCTGTGGCTTTACCTGTAAGCTGCGATCTCAATGTCCAGGGCCATCTTCACATTCAGGAGGTCCTGATATTCTTTCAGGTATCTTGCCATTTCACTCTTTGTGGTCCTCAGCTCATTTTCCAATTTGTTGATGGTGTCCTGTAGAAAGATTTAAGACACATCTAGGCATAAATTCCTGCTGCTTTCATTGTACTGTGGTACATTCATAGCTGTGCAGGGCTGTTAAACCAAAAATGCCAACCTCTTAAAAAAAAACCCTCTCCCCTTTATTTTTAAAGAAAGAAAACCCTTCTTGCCTAAAATGCCAGCTTCAAGAAATGTGGGAAGAAAAACGTTAAGACTTGAAAAACTGAAAATCCCTTCAACCTAAGGATCATAAAAATGGCTATTTTATAGGAAAACTGCTTCAAACACAAGCTCGTTAGCCAGATTGTATTGGAGAACATGTATGCATTGTGCACAGAAAGAAGTAGCTCCATCTTTTTTTTTTCTAAAATGGCTTTTCTCCAAAAGGCTTTCTGCATAGCTCTATTTCTACTCCTCCAAAAAAATAATCAGTGGTTTCCTGTGATCAACCATCACCAGCTAAGGGCCTTAAACAGTCTTGACTGTGTTCCCAGGTCTCTGCTGTAAGGTGGAAATGCTTGGTTAAAAGGAGCTCTGAATAAAGAGAGGTGGTTGAGAAGTCAGTTTATGGACCGGTTGACTCCAATAGGTGGAGATAGTGGCTGGTGGTGGGGGCTGGTCGGTAGAGAGAGAGGAGGTCATTGCAGACAGAGGGCAACGCCCAACTCCCCCTCCCTCCCTCCCCACTTCTGGGGCTGCTCCTGCGGAACAGGACAACTAACTGCACCGCACCGCAGCTTTCCAGACTGCGGAGGCGCCGCCCCGCCCCGCCCTCGCGGTCTCCAAGGAGCCAGGCCCCACCTCTACCACCTGCCCGCGCTTTAGGAGCGGGGGGGGGGGGGGGAGACACCACTTCGACCCCACCCTGCTTGCTTGCCGGCTCCCGAAGGCCGGGTACCTGCATGGCGCTGATGTCGGCGTTCTGCTTGTCCTCCAGCTCCTGGAGCTGCTTCTCCAGCGCCTCGTTCATGCCCCGGCAGGCCTCGATCTCCAGGGTCTTGGCCTTGAGCAGGCGGCGGCTCTCGGACACCTCGTCCTTGGCGGCGCGCACGGCGTCGGTGTTCTTGGCGGCGCTCTCGGTGAGCACCGTGAAGCGGCTCTTGAACCACTCCTCGGCGTTCTGCATGTTCTTGGCGGCCAGCTTCTCGTACTGGGCGCGGATGTCCTTGAGCGCGGCGGAGAGGTCGGGCTTGGAGGACACGTCCATCTCCACGGAGATCTGCGCGTACTGGATCTGGGCCTGCAGCTCGGCGATCTCTTCCTCGTGCACCTTCTTCAGGAAGGCGATCTCGTCCATCAGGCTGTCGATGCGCTTCTCCAGCTCGGCGCGCGCCAGCGCGGCCTCGTCGGCGCCCTTGCGCGCCTCCATCAGGCGGCCCTCGGCGTCCTCGCGGCTCAGCACCTCCTCCTCGTAGCGCGCCTGCAGCGTGCGCAGCGTCTCCTCCAGCCCCTCGCGCTCGCCCTGCAGCGCCTGCTTCTCGGTCGTGGCGTCCTCGGCCGCCAGGCGCAGGTCACGGATCTCCTGCTCGTACAGCGCCCGGAAGCGGGACGGCTCCGAGTGCTTCTGGCGCAGCACCAGCAGCTCGGCCTCCAGCACCTTATTCTGCTGCTCCAGCTCGTGCACGCGCTCGATGAAGCTGGCGAAGCGGTCGTTGAGGTCCTGCAGCTGCGCCTTCTCCTGCGTGCGGATGGACTTGAGGTCGTTGCTGATGGCCGCCACCTGACTCAGGTCGAGGTTCTCCAGGCTGGGCAGCAGCGACCCGGAGCTGGAGGAGTAGCTGCGGCGCACGGACAGCGAGGAGGACACGGGCGCCGAGTAGCTGGAGTAAGCGGAGCGCGCCGTGCTGTAGCCGCTGCGCACGCTGGAGATGTGGACCCGGGGCGTCTCCACGTAGCGCCGCTTGTACGAGGTCGAGTAATACGGCTCATAGCTGAAGGAACTCATGGTGGCGGCGGCCGTGCGCCCCCCGGCCCGCCCCCGGCCGGGATGGAGGCCTAGAGAGAAAGAGAGAAAGAGAGAGAGAAGGCAGGGAGGGAAAGAGAGGGCGCGGGGAGGATGGATGGCTGTGTGCAGCTCGGCGCCGGCCCGGCCGCCCCTATTTATACGCCTGGCGGCTCCTGACGCAGCCTGCGCGCGTCCCG